ACAGAAACAAGAACACTAAATGAGGCACACAGAAAGACAAACAGGGGGCTGACTTACAAGTCGTGTGTATTCGTCTTCGGCTTCTTCGCTAGAAGCAGTGCCATGAAGTCAAACAACTCCGTAGAGTTTTCCGCTCCATCGTTTCCCTCTCTGCGTGTCTGCCCGTCTTGTCCTGTTCTTTTGAGCTGTTTCTTCCTGAAACAAATCACCAACTTGCCCAAGGCTTAGTTTTAAAAGGCCGAACCACCTTTAGTGAATCCCTCTTTCTCTCGATGGCGTGCACGGCTGACGCTTGCCGGACTCCCAGGTGGCCTTCCTCTCAGACAGTTTTGGTTTCCTGTTTTGTTCGTCGCAGATGGAGACGACGAGTCACACATTGATGGCAGCTACATCCAGGCTTGGCAAGAGACATACCGGTGTCTCCTCGTGGTCCTACGTCGCAGTCGCCTTGGCGGCTTTCTACTTCACAGCTGCGAGTGGTGAGTTCTAGCTTATGGTGATTTCGGTTCGTCAGTTTTTGGCACCTCCTTGCCCACGGTCAACCAGGAACGAGACGACGCTTTTTTTGCCCTCCGGTGCGCCAGGTGACAACATAAATCACGTGACCACTGCCTAGTTGTCCTAACTTTTTTATTTTGATCGTGTTCGACGTCCTTTCGGAAACACTAGCTTCGCTCGATTTATCTCCACCTCCTGTACCGGTGCAGAAAAGTGTATGGCGCTGCACTTCCGGTCGTATTTGAATACACAAACCGGAAGTACAGTGCCATACACGTTTCTGCAGCGGTGCAGGAGGTGCAGGCAAATCGAGCGAGGCTAGTGTACACTCCGGTGTTCCTCTGCATTGGTAGTCTTTTGCTTGCCGATTTGTCTTACAGCGGCAGCTGTTACGGGCTCGTCCGCCTGGTTTCGCGACGGCGTGAGCGTAAATGAGTTTAGTTTCCCCGCTGAATTTAGCGGAAAAAGTGACGCCACGTGACCCATGCGCCAATTCAGTTTCGTCGCTACATTTGGCGGGAAATTTGATGTCACGTGATCTGACGTTATGGGACCTACGGACGAATTCAGGTTCTTCGCTAAATTTAGTGGAAAAATTTGCGTCACATGACGTATGCACCAATTAGTTTTCCCCCTAAATTTAGCGGAAAAATTTACGTCACATGACCTATGCACCAATTAGTTTTCCCGCTAAATTTAGCGGAAAAATTTACGTCACATGACCTATGCACCAATTAGTTTTCCCGCTAAATTTAGCGGAAAAATTTCCGTCACGCGACCTACGCGCCATATCAATTTCTTCACTTAATTTGTCGGAAAAATGGACATTTTTCCGCCACATCATAAAACAAAAAAAAATCATTTTTCTGTAATAATTTAAACATTTTAGGGACGTATGGCCATAAATCAGCACAGATAAGAAAGGGAATACACCTTTGCAAGTGGGTCCCCGGCTTAACCTCGAACAGTGCGCCGAGGTGAGGCGAACCTACTCTCCAGCCAGTACGTTCGCTGCTTGCCGTACAATGCTGCCAAGCGTCTCTTGCTGAAACACGCAGCACTGAGCGCAGATAGAGACTAAAAACATTTCTAAAACATACAGGTGTTGTCTTCGACCGTGAACAAGCGCAACAAGGAAATAAAATGCCAAAGTCAGTCTCAAATCGAAATATGAGAAAAATATCTAGTCTCAAAGCGCTTATCGCCATTGCACCAATGATGCCTGCGTTCGCGGCAGTTCTGGCTTCCACGACGTGCTGGATCAGAGGCTGCGATCGTTATAAAGTCAGCTCCAACCCATAAACATTCCCCCTCATACAATATTTGGTGCTACGATTATGTGTGGATGCGTCCTCCTGCGTTCCGAAACAGTGCGTGCGCCATAGCGGTGGCTGTCGGCGATGCGGGCGCGCCGCCATCTTGTCCTCGCACATCCCAATGACGTGTCCCTAGCTCACTCCAAAATGACAGAAACGTCAGGCGGCGCCAGCATCGCTCAAGATAGCAGTGCACAGGAGCGTTTCTCGCAAACTTGTTTTGACCGATATTTCACTCAGTTTCATTAAGCCATTAGTGCCGGTATCGTGGGATAGGTACCGCGCGGGTAAAAGGGATCGAGGGCCGTTTGAAGGACGGCGTAAATCGGGTTCTTAAGGTATCGCGCTAGGATTTACTACAGAGGTCGCTGAAGGTCGTGGAAGCTTTCGCTAAAATTGTGGAAAGATTGGCTCGCCTGAGTACATCAAGAACGAAAACAACAACGATGGTTTACCTATATTTTGCATGTACGCTAAGAAGTATTATGTGCTACTGTGACGCTTATTTGGGCCAAATTAGGTGAAGAATACGTAAGCCGATTCTATGTTCCTTCCAAATTACACATTTTTAATCGTAGTATACGCCAATTAACCCACAACGAGTTTCTGATGATTTCGAGATAAAAGGCTTAGAGATAATTTTTCTATAGAGAGCACCATATTTTTATTTTCTTTCTTTTGACTCCGGAGGTTTCATGTGTTCATACTTCCAATCAATGAATGCACCAGCTTCGAGCAACTCTGTAGTAAATGCCAGTAAAACCGATTTATGCGGTCCCTTCAAAACGCCATCGATCCATTTGACCCACGCGGTAGTCTTTCTGCTCGCACGACAACCCCGCTGAGGATCTGCCCACAAGGGGGCACGAACTGTCTCGTGCGCTGGCGCCTGCCTCTTAGAAACTGCAGTTACGGCGTCGTCAATTTTGCGTAGAACGCCGAGCGAGATCGGTCCTTTGGTTGGACTCATGGTACCCTTATGTAATCGTACACCGCTTCCAGCGTCATACCCAACGTATTGCCGTCACAATATGCATGCAGGACCGTCATTACGCCTAAAGCAGCTAACCATTCACTATATACTGTTTCAGAAATGCCTCATGCATTCTGTCAGTCATTAACCTCCCTTTAGTCAGCTAAGACTGTGAGCGGGGCTGCACTTGACGAATTCTAATGAACAAACTTGTGGCAGCAAAGCGCTAGATTTTTTTTTTTTTTGGAAATGAGGCCGCGGCGATTATAAAACGCGCTACTAGTCATGCTTTTCATCGTTTAAGCTGATCATCAAGAGATCACGGATTGGTACTTCGAGATCATTATGGGGAAGCACATACACAGGAATATTTATGAGTGAGTCCAAAGACACACATTCGCAGTTTCGAGTGACTGCGTCGCAACATATTGATCAATTGATTACACTTATGACTTTTCCCAGTAACATCGGTTTTGACTTGACAATTCGGTGTACTAGACACAGTCTTGTACACGTTACTAAAAAAAGTAATCAATTACAATTACTATTACTCTTGGCTAAAAAGTATCCGATTAGATTAATTGATTACTCGACGGCAAAAGTGATTGGACATTAACATTACTTAAAGAAGTAATCGTTACTTTTCCGATTACTTTATTGTGTGAAGACACATCTTTAGCGCTCATAACAATGAGCTACTTCCAACCTATATTTCACATTTGCACAAGTATTGAAGAAGAAAAACTGGCTCCCTCTTTGTGGCCGTTGCACCTTCACAATGCGGACACAAGCATAGAATTCGTTTGAAGACGTTTAATGATTTGGGCGTTCGCCAGTGTGTGTGTGTGGGGGGGGGGGGGGGGGGGGGGGGCGGGGGGGAGCGGAGGGGGTTTTAGATTTTGTTAAGCTTGAGCAAGGGTTGTCGCTCAAAGTTTGCGTCGGTCATTTTATTATTCACATGTGGACGAGCTCGCATGTTATACAAAAAAGCAGCAGCTCCAGGATTTGAAACGGATCATGTGTAGTATCCATTAGCGGAAGAGATCGCCCTGACCACTTCTCAACTCGAAACATTGCTTGTCACAAAGACCACGTAGGGGAAATGGGGAAATATTTCAACTGCCTTTGTTATATTTTGCATCCGCTTTAGGAATTCTTCGGTTCTGGTTCTCCTACGGACTGCGAGTAGGTACCCTTTAGCAGGATTTTTTCTTATTTTTCTTTTTTATTTCTGTGTGTGTGCGCGTGAGGGGGCTAGTTTGAACAAAGGACTCACAAAGCTACATTCTGCTTCGCCAAACTTCGCCCTGAATGGCCTTTGTCACGCACTGTGGCTTCCCTGGGTCCAGGATCTGCCTGGGGCTTCCCACTCCCAGTCCCAACTCGAAAAAAAAAAAACGGACATTTTACAGAAACTGTACATAGAAAGAGATTGACCTCGTTTCCTACAGCTCCGCAAAAATCTTTCTTTTTTCTGTTCGAAAAAAAAAAAAGGAAATTTTATTTTTGTAATTTTATAAAAAAAGGCGTGTGCCGGGAGGGGGGGGGGGGGGGTCCCGTGGACAAATTGTAACGGTTACAAGCAATTTTATTACTTCAAAAAGTAATCATATTACTCTTGTGATTACTGTCTAATAAAAGTAATCAACTGATTACAAAATTACTCCAAAAAGTAATCGATTACAAGTAATATATATGATGCATCACTTGAGAACTGTGACTTCCTTTCCTGGTTATTTGTAATATTAGGTGACCATCCTAGATCGATTATATATTTTAATGACGGCAGATCCAGCTTTTGCAAAACCTTCATTTACCTGGCGTGAAGGAGCGGCACCAACTGCGTGGTCACCTACTTCTGCTGACAATAAAGGAACTAAATAGAAAGTGTTGATTTAGGTTACTTATCTGTGTAAAGAAAAGTAAACGGGATGTTGATTAGAAAAAGTAGAATGTTCGGAAGAGCAAATAAGAAAAAAATATAATTAAAGTAATGACAAACTCACAGAAGCAAATCAGTGCTCACAATCAATTTGATTACCATGAGTACGTACTGTGCACGCCTTTTCTTACGATAGAGCGGTTTTTTGCCATTAATAAGAGTGCGACTGGAGCAAAACGTAAGGCAGAGCATGCCTCTAATAGCGTCATGTTTTTTTTAAATATTTGTCCGCCTGACTGAACATTCCTTTGTCTCGTTTTTCGCAGGTTGTGGCACGGTCGCCGACGACGCCGGAGAGACCGGAGCGGGGCCTAAGGGGCAAGTCGTCAGATCACCGTGGCCTTGGATGGTGAGTGCATTCGGTAAAGGAGAGCTCCGGTGGTTGTTCAAGCTATCCCGACTAAGCCCACTTTTCGAGTACCCATGCTTTAACCTTCCTGGAATGCAATTTATTATCTTTAAATTTAAAATAGTGATAGAGAGAACAGCTAATGATGGTGATACCGAAACCAACATGCAAATTTCCCCGCGCTGTCCACTGGGATGACGTCAGTTGTATACCTTGCATGCCCAGCAGGCAGTCTAAAGAACAGAAAGTTTCGCGCGTTCTAGTTTGCTTTGCTGGAGTAAGCTTCCCCAGCATTCATTTAAACGCCATCAACTTTCTTGTAGTCGTCGGGAACAAGCCGCACTTCCCCCATGTTACAACATACATGAATGGTAATGGCTATACCCTTTGTAACGAGCAGTAGCTAGCGCCACCTAACTTAGAAAGGAAAAAGTATGAATAATCCCCTCGTCCTTCCAAATCAATTGCACTCTGCATTCTTCTAATTGCACCAGGCAGTGTGGGATATTGCTAAAATAATTTTTGAGAAACACGGCAAAAAAAAAAAAAAAAAAAAAAACATTAGGAACACCGTTTTTCGCAGTTTCTCCCCGGCGAGAAAGTTACAAATTTTCCTCTTGTGAGTCATAATCGCCGCCAACCACACACAGTGTCCACTGGGGACAGAGTTGAGATTTTCTGCCCGAGCTACGCCGAAGGGAGTCTCAATCAATTTTTCACTCTCCCACCTTTTCCCAGCTGTGCCAGTTTGTTTTACTTCATTGAATTTATCTCTGGATACTTTTTACCATTCTTGTAACTTTTTCTGATGGTAATCCTTACCTCCTACATACTTTCATCTTCGCCGCCAAAACCAGAGTCGCCGTCATATTCGTTAGCCATTCGGGCACGGCGAGGCGAAGCCCGGCCCTGTGCACTTCAAAACCAAATGTTTTAGCGTCTCACTCTCACTATGCATACGACACACTATATCTCTGTCACTTGAAATTTATTCCTATACGTCATTTTTCTTAGTACTCACGTTCCCACCTCAAACAGCAAAGAACTTCCATGTTAATTATCAACAACACGTTCTTTTCTTATGTCCGGTTTCCATAAACTGTACATTGTTAAAGCTGATTTTTCCTGCATTCTTCCCACTTTTTTTCTGCCTCTGACCCTATGCTCTACTGGACTGGTTTGCTCAGCACAATCACCAGTATGCAGGAATTTAACGTCAGCTTCTAGGTTCGGTTTGTCCATTTTGTGTTTAAACGTTTCATGCATAAGTACTTGAATAGTTTCCGTGCAATATTCATTTCAATTAACCCTTTTACAAATTTCAATTTACTGATTTCCTCTCTTCTCTCAAAAGACGACCAGCCCCAGTATCTGTGCTCCTTCATTTGATGTGTTACGATGAGCTTCCAGTGCTAACCTGCCCGCACTCCTTCGTAGAATTTCGAATACTGATTATACCTCTGATCTAAAAAAAAGAAATGGCGGACACTGTTTCAAAAGACGGTCCTGGCATCATTCCTCTTTTCGTAATACCCCTGGCCATTTGCATCGATTATAATTCCATAATGTGTTGAGTTTCATGATACATAAATTTCTTTTCCTCTTTCTAATTATATTTTCTTCAAGTTCCTCTATGTACTTCCTTTCCTCATCAAAGCATACTCTCAGATATTTGTATTCTTCCACATAGTATATTTAACTTTCTTGTATTTTCAGGGGTCGTTGGTCACCATTACGTCAGACATCTCACTACTAAAACTCAAAACAAGCTGTCCCCTTCCTCTTCAGACATTCTAGATAGATTCTGTAATTTGTCGCGGTTTTCTGCCATGAGCGCTTTGTCGTCTGCAATCATTAGTCCTGGATTTACTTGCATTACATTTGTCACCCTTTAAATATCAGTAGCTATATTTATCTGCTCTAATTGATTTTCTATTTCACTTAGGCATATCATGAAGGGCAGTGACAGTAAACAGCCATGTCTCTGCCCTTTCTAATTGTCAATCTGGAGAAGGTTCCACTCCAAACTCTGCGGCAGTTATTAGTGCCCCAACGAACGCGGCAAAGCAAGGACCGTCAGTTCCGCTTCAAACAGGCCAAGTGTGGGCTTCTTCATTATATCAAAGAGTTCGTGTTCAAATATTGCTGGACAGCGGCAGCCAAAGAACCTTCGTACGTCGCGACGTCTCAAAAAATTTAACTGCACAGCTCTTAGAAACGAAGAACTCACCGTATTCACGTTTGGTAGCGCTCGACGACCTTCACGCTATCACTGTCGTCGAGTAACCATCGAACTATGGGGTCGAACCACCGGCACACGAATCCACTTGCAAGCATTGGAAGTGTCAGAAATCGGCACTGTCATCAGTCATCCGGTCAACGAAGAGCTGCAAGCTCGACTCCACCCTGAAAACATGCTGAGCGCCGATATAGCACCGGAAAGTATGTCATGCCCAAATGTAATAGGTGTCCTCATCGGATCTGACGCCTATTGGAAGATTGCCACAGGCAAAATTAAACGCCTCAGCGAGACACTAATGGCAGTTGAAACCGTCTTCAGCTGGGTGATACAAGGAACGTATGCCTGTCATTCTAGCAACCCAAGAAGCACAGTCACCACCCTTTCTCTGTCATGGGAATTCTCCAACGACGGAAACGAGGATTTTGATCCTTCACAAGTGTGGCGCCGAGATGCCATTGGTGTCACCGATTGTCCGCGCGATCTTCCTTGTCCTTTATTTATCAACATCCTGCCGGGCGGCGCTGGTGTCGATGCTGCATCATGGAGGAAGAGCAGCTGGACAGGCCTGTTGATCTCTCGCCCAGGATGTTTTCGTCTGGACCCTCGTCACTCAAAAAGTCATCCTACCGAGACTCTTTCCACATACTTTCCCGGTCGTCCTGGATGTCTGCCACCCTAGCTCCGGGTGCACTTTTTGCCTATCGCTTGGTTGCGTTTTCCATTTCACCTTCCACCACTTTGGAGGAGCTGGGTGTTCGGTGCTTGGAAGAGGATCTGTTTGGGAGTCCTCGGACGGTAGCTTTTAGCATTTGCGTCTCTTTCTGTTCAGCTCGAACCGTGGCAATCGACTTTGCGTTCGATTGTGCGCGGACTCCGGAGATGCTGCGCCCTCTCTGCCTTTCGGAAGTGAAGGATCGTTCGTTACCCCAGCTCAAAAAGCTTCGCAGACCTCCGCTTGTGCGCCATTCAAAGTCCCTTCTGGCCGACAACTGCCGTCGCCTTCAAATTCGGAGTGACAAACTCTTGGACGCACGCCGAATTCGGCTTCTCCGACCATCGCTCAGTCGCTCTTCTGCACTTTAGACCTGGCAGTATTACTTTTGTTTGTCGACCTTCTGTCTTTCTAGAGCTGTGTACGCTTTGTCGGACGGTCTGCTTGCCTGTTGATAGTAGTCCCACAACTCTTGACATATCATGTTCTCGGCTTGCGGACGCATCCGTAGTCTCGGCCGTTTCAGACTGCTCGCTCCCTTGCGAGACTTTCCAATGCTCAAATTTTCCGGGTGGTGCTGAGCACACGATACCGGCCCCGAACTTCCCTTCGGCGGAGAAATTTGGTGTTCCTTGTCCGTGCGCCCCGCGGCAGCTAGCCGCACTTTCAGTTTGTTATGGACGAGTCTTGACTGCTGAACCGTGCCTAAAATGTGTCGGTCCCTCTCCGGCCGGATTGGCTGTTGCTCAGCGCGAGTCTTCGCGATCCTCCTGTTCTGGGTTGCCGTCTCGCTCATGGCGTCTCCGAATCTTTGCGCTGGTTCGTGTTGAATATGTTTTTCATCCCATTGAGTATCGCGCACGAGACAAATCTTCACCTCTTCGTCTGGTCCCAATTCCATTCTTTCGCTGCTCGGCCTAGCATGCATAAAATCTTCAGTTGCAACGTTTGACTGCAAGGTCTCGCTCCTCCTAGACAGCGACAGCTTGCGGTAAAGCGGTTTCCGTTTCTTCTGAGGCCGAAAGATTTACCCGTCTTTCGCTAGCATCCTCCGTGGCTATAAAGCTATGTGCACCGCTCTCTCCGAGGACGATGCTATCGCACAAAGAGATTGGCTCCGAGAGTAGCATCGTAGTTCTCCCTTTCTCGCGTGCAGCGATGGGACTTTTCAATTGGTTCACCAGTTCTTCAAAGACGTCGCCAAATACTTTGACGTCGCCGTGTGCGGCAGCCGACAGTTTCGTGGGTGTGCACTCTCGCGCGTAGATCTTTTTGTGACCGACCCTACTGCACAGGGAAATTGGTTCCGAAAATAGCGCCGTCCTAATCTCTCTCTCTCTCTTGTGTTTGTTTAGGTCATTGCAATCTGGTTCTAGGCCTGCGGTACTTATCATCTAAAAGAAATTGTTGTTGGTCTAGTTGGTGTTGACTGTATTGAACCATGGTTAAAAGCGCTAAAATAAGACTTACACAAGATAGAAGACAAACACGGGCGCCCGTGTTTGTCTCCTATCTTGTGTAAGTCTTATTTTAGCGCTTTTATACCATGGTTCAATACTGTACTTATCATGATAGGTACTTGGTACCGCAGATCACGGTTTTTCTTATGCTTGTTTCAAATGGTTGGAGCGCTGGGTGATCAATTGGTTAGGTGTCGGCTAGGTGGAGCGCAGGCGGGGCTTGGGCACCCGCAATGTAAGTGTTCTATAAACGGCCATCCGAACAGGACACGTCTCGGAACCCTTCCTCCACAAGCATGTTGAATTTACAGCTTATTATGAACATTACCGTTTATCTCTTTACGCCTCCGCATAAACTTCCGCTGATTCCTTAGTTTTTTTCTGTATCACGCTAACGGACGCACCCTTAATAGAAAGTTTTACCGCCGAATTCAGAAACCTCACTCCAACTACACTTAAACTGAAGGGCCCCTCCACTTCCTCGAGGAAGGCGCGAGGGCCGGCGCTGGCCAATCGCGATGGCGGATCCGTCCTCGCGATTGGCCAGCGCCGGCCCTCGCGCCTTCCTCGAGGAAGTGGAGGGGCC